TATACATAATTCAAGGTTAACTGTGGCTTCAGAATGTATAATCAGCACCTGGCACACTCAAAAATTCATTTTGGAAACATAAACTTGATAAAATTGAGATAAATATCACCATCAAGACAAACTTAAATACAGTAAAATGCTTTCCATCAAAATTCTGTTTGAGTATTAAATTAGGACAGAGATAAAACCTGATCAAATTGATAAACCATAATCTTCCTGCAATTTTGACTTCAACAAGTTGGACTGCAATATAAATTTTAATTCTTTCTAAATTATATCTACTTTTGTTTCCTTTTTTCTTTTTTAAGAGTATGTGACTGTAGCAAATTGGTCATTACTACACATCGAGATAAACCAGAATTGGATGTGATTGGAGTTTGTGGTCGTTGGAGAATATAAATTGACTTTAGTTTGTGGACACAGCATTTTCAATTGACCAAATATAAAAAAGAAGTACAGCTCTGAAAAGACCCATGGGTCTGACTGAAAAGACCATTTAGTATAAATCCTTTTTCAAGCTCAATTAACAAGCCCTGCAGTAGTATACAGATTGGGAAGGAATAATCTATCTTCTCAAAGTCTAATGTTGCTCCTTATATTATTAAAAACTATGCATTCTTAAATTCAAAACAAAAATATAAAACGACTTGAATTGCATGTGTGCCAGTGCTGATTATACTCAAGATGCTGGGCCTAAGATTGGTAAACACTGAGTGTTTGAGGAATTTGAACATCTTCAAATGATAAGGTTTCAGTGAGTTTTTGTGGAGACTCAGAAATGCTTCATAGGAGCATCAAATAAATCCAACAGAAACCAGAAATACACTGCAGTATTGATAAGTACGGCATAGAATCATCAGGGCATTTACTTGAAAATCAATAAGCACACAGGCCATGTCCAACTCCAAACCAACAGCTACGGAGTTTGACACAAAGTATGAAGAGCTTTTCTCTCGACATTTGTACACTGTGGTGACTGTTGACCATTGATAACAAAGTGTTGTTTACCAATCTAGCACCCAGTCCCCAACAGGCATACTACCAGGCAAATGTACTCAAGTAATAAATACCCTTCAGGTAACCAGCCCCCACAAGAATTCTGAGTACTTTCAAGGAGCAGTATCAAAATACAAATTGGGAAGATTTGTCTCTTAGCTTAATACCTCCTTGCCGCAGTAAGTAGTCAACTACACCACACATGCGCTTCACAGGTTAATTAGTTTTTTTCGTTTAAAAGTTGCTTATCAGTTATTCTATAAATTACCAGTCGCTCTTTTAAATGATTAAGATTTTCAAAAGCATCTGAGTTTTTACTTTCAAGTGATTATCAAACTTCAATTTTCTTGAGATCAGACATATTCTAGGGGGCTGGTTAAATGCTCTGCGATTGCACATTTTTTCAGCACACACTCTGTGCATTGAATAATAAAAATAGTTCCAGAGTCCTTCATTTTAGAAGTGTCCATAACACTGCATTGTTCATACACTGACGTTGTCCACAAGTCCTCAAATAACCTCAAGTTTGAATCCCAAGATGTGGCACTGAGAGGACAGAGTAGGAAGTCAAATGGATCCAGAAAAAGTCAGTCAAATGGATCCAGAAAAAGTCACTGTGTGAAGTCAGTTCCAGTGACCTGCTCTGAGGATCGCAATCAATGTACATGTACGTGTAGAATTGTATATGTCTGATGTAATTGGTTCCTGGCATCTTATCACAGCATCCTGAGTCAGCCTCAGGTCAACAGTGGTACACTGATCCTTCCTGCTTGGAATTGGTGTACATGTACATTGCTCAATATCAAAGGCCATTTCATGTCAGTAGTCTCCAGTCATCCAACCCACAGGCTTTCTTTGGTTCCTGGCATCTTATCACAGCATCCCAAGTCAGCCGCAAGTCAACAGTGGTACACTGATCTTTCCTGTTTGGAATTGGTGTACATGTTCATTGCTCAATGTCAAAAGCTATTTCATGTCAGTCTTCATACAGTCTTGCACCAAGAGTGATGACAGTTACAACGAAAAATCAAATTGGCTGTGTTCAAGTGAACACTATTACATGCCCTTGTATAGTGCACAGGGCTTCAGAGGAGACTCAGTAGTCCAGCCAAAGGAAATTGACAGGAAACTAAACAGATGGGTTCATCAGTCCTTCTGGCATAATGCTGTTCCATGCTGTTTCACTGTCTCCTATGAGTTCCATTAGAGATGTCATTTCACTGGGGCTGTCTTCCAGTGGAGGATATGTTCCACTGACTGAATGAATTGGGAACCTGGATGCAGTCCGTCGTCATCAAATGACTTGAATGTCATGTCTCATGATGTCTGATCCGTGGTGCTGATCTCAGTGCCTTTTCAAATTTTCCAGTGTTGACTTCCGTGAGACTTTGTGGGTTGGTTTGATGATCTGGGCGCAGCTGTCTTCCTTGACAGGGAATCTGCAGGAAAGATGTAAGGAAAGAGATCAAACACTTGAGTTTATTAGGTCAATGATAGAAATGCTTAGGTGCTTCAAGACAACACTACTTCATAATTTCAGTCTGGGCTCAATTTTATGACACTGTTAAGCAGATTATTTTATGCTTATGGAGGGCTCTGCATATTGCATGAATACCGCAGCAGTAAAATTGGCACAAGGCATGCATGCAACTGTAAGCACAACCACACCAACCACCATCATAAAATAGCGATTATGCTGTAGTAAGCATGATTTTTCTGCCGTTCAGCAGCCCCATGAAATTGGGCCCTTGTCACCAAACTTCCTTACAACCAATAGGGACAGTAACATGCATCCACACCAGTGAATATGTCAGGGTCTTTGAGGCTGACAGTGCTGTTTTGTGTATGCCAATATTTATCTGAAAACATGTACAATCTGCCATGCATCCTACCGGTACCTGCTAGCTGTACTGAAGTCAAGCATCGATGCCAACCATCCTGTCAAGTTGCCCTCCAGTCAAACTGGCTTCTTCCATCACCAACCTTGTCCCACGAGACTTGCAACAGTTCATGTAGTTCCCAAGACAAAGTATCCATTCCTCCTTCCTCACACTGAGCTAGCAATGGATACAGCAGGGAAGACAGTGAATGGAGGCACCAAGCAATGCCAACCCCAGAAACTTGTGATGATGTAGCAGGAATTCCTTGACATCCAAGCAGACAGCATGGTGACATGGAGAGGTGTGTGGTGTACTATGATGGTGAGCTTGGAGGTTGGATCACAAGCAAACAGCAGGTAGTGAACTCCAGTATCTGTGACGAGAACCAACAAAAAAAGATAGGACACGGTTTACGTGTTTTGAACGACTTTCTCATAAAAAGATCAAGAAACTATCGGTAGCTAGGAACCTCATTTCAAGGCAAGTTTAGACAAACTATTTGGAAGTAATACCAACCCTCTCAGGTCCTTCAAAATCAATCCTGATGTTTGTGAAGATTTCAGTGGCCATATTTGGGAAAGTATGGTGCAGCTAAAATTATAACATGGTCCATACAAAGTGCTGGATTGAAATGGTTGCATGGAGGTTCCTGGCAAGACTGTCCAAGGGTTTGAAGGGTTCATCATGAAGGGTTCATCACTATCCACAATGTATGCAACATCTAGCAGCTTGATTGTAGACTACACGTGTGTGACCCACTCCAGGAAAAGGTGATATAAAGTGTAAGTTTTGCCATGCATTTACTAGCTATGGCCTGCTCAACGTTGAGTAGGGGAAAAATTCCATTTTTTTTCCCTGTGAAATGACACCTTTAATGTTTATATAGTTTCAGGATGTATTCACAGAAAAGTGACATCAATTTAACAAAGTGAGGACAATAACTCTTTTGAAGATGATAAGGAAACAAGAACGTTTTGGCTACCAGGTGGGATTTCATGCCAACATCTACAACAGAGCCAGCTACCAGATTTCAAAGCCTATTTACTCAGTTGTGTAATTTGAACTCCATGCAACTGATTAATATGCAAATAGCAGGACTGTACATCGTAACTCCACAATGGGAGGGGCTATGGAGCTCTGTCGGATACCAGATGAAAGCTTATGTTGTGGGCTTTACAGTCACATGTACATGTACCGGTATTATAACTTACATGTACATGTACTGTATGATGTAACCTTTTGCTGGAGCGAGCCACATACTGTAGAGTAGCAGAGTCTCCATCAGCAGTCATCCAACAGAGAGCAATACATGTAGGTTAAATTGTAAACACCGCTTTTCAACAGAGTTTGGTGCATATTCAGACCCTTTTGGGGAAAGACTTTTCACATGAGCAACTTAATATGTATTTGGAAAAGTCCAAATACTGAGGTTTGACATTTTGAATCAAGCCACAGCATGTCTCCTAGTTGATCCAAATCTGTCCGGAATTAGTTTGCAGGAGGCTGCCCTAGAAAACAGCTTTAGTAAGGCAGACAAACTTACAAACATAAAGACAACACGTGGGAGAACAACCTGATTTACAACCAAATGAAGTGCTACATGACCTGTTGCCAGGGGCACCGTATTGTGGGCAATCCATCAATCTAGGGACCTACATGTAGTATGCCATCCTTATGGCAAACTGAACAGTCAGAAAGAAAACTACTCGTAGGGAGCCACTCAGCTAGGAAACAAAGGGATGGGTGACGGCAGTCAAGCAATAAGTACTTTAAAGCTGTACATGCTGAGAGTAGTGCCAACCTCAGACTTTGGAACCAAAATGGCTGTTCATCGTGTGTTAAGTCTTAAATGTCCACGTGCACTGACACATAATCCACCATTGTGGTTCCAACAATTGAGACACTCATGTCACACTCTGTATAAACAGCTCTGAAGTACATGTACATAACCCTGGAAATGATTAGGACTGCTGTACTGACATGCATCTTTCCCTTATTAAGATGCCCATGTCAATGTGAGAGGATGACATTTACAACCAATCATTCACATCCCAGGCCTAACAGTCAGCAAACAAACCTAATCAACCTGAATGTAACCAAAAAAGTAAATCTACTGAGCAAATGCGCCTGAGCAGAGTCCAGGTCCTGATGCATCATTCTGTTTCTAGTAAAAGCACATACCATGGTACGGTACATGTACCCCGGTACACGGATATCACACAATCTCAATAGCAGGAGAGATCACTGCCTCAGAAAGGATCATCAACAACCAGTGATACCTCAATGCTATACACCCAAGTCAGGTGGATCCAGTGAATTTCAAATTTCTTTTGCAAGACAAGCAACCGTCTTTTAAGGTGTTCCATCTCAACAGACACTGCTTTTGATATCATGCTGGCTTTTATTGTGAGACAAGACAAGTACCTGTGACTACATGGGACTGTAGTTAAAAATATTCCTCAACAGTGCCAACCTTTTTGTCAAACAACTTCTATGAGTAAACCATCAATCCACATGACAGACACCAGTACTTATTAAGTAACTACAATGAAGTAGGCGACAATGTGAAGCAACAGTCTGTTGTTTGTTTCAGCTGTTTCAGGGTCAGTATTCATGGAAACTATATGGAAACTACAGAAACTTTAGGATCACATATCACTTCAACTTCTTCAGATGGGGATGCACGCAATGACCTGGCAACCACATTCAGGATTTTCCTTATGATTTCTACTCCACTGATAGTTCTTTTAATCTTGCTCCTGAATCCACTGATGCTTTTCACCTTACGGCGTGCAGCATCCAGCCAACCACTAAAATCTTCATGGCTTCACTGGCCCTGTCTGATCTCGGTCATGGTCTAATTCAGCTCTTTGGCTTAGTGCAACTATTTGCTGGATCTTGGTTGCTGGGTGATTTTCTCTGTGCAGCATGCCAAACTCTAACATTCATACATGTATTTGATGGACTGAGCTGTCTTTCACTTCTTTTGACAGTAGATCGTTACATTGCTATTTCCCATCCTCTAAGGTATCCTTCACTGATGACTGTGTGTAGAGCAAAGATCATGGTATGCAGCAAATGGGCTGCAAACATTCCTAATTTAACTACAATGTATGGGGTTTATAACCACGCTACTGTTGGCCCTCACAAAATTTGCACTGAACTAAAAGATGATTGGAGACTGTATGTCATTATTACAGCCCTGGCTATCTCTCTAGCAACCATATTCATCCTGTATGCACACATTAACCTAATAGCTCGCAATCAAGCCCGATGCATTGCTGCTGAAAACCAAGCAGGCAACGGCCAAGGTGGGCAGAGAATAAACACCAGATCAACCACCACCATCATCATCATAACAGGGACTCTAATCATCACTTGAATTCCCTCAGTGATCAGGATGGTGATAATTTCACATATTTAATCACAGCCCCACTACTGGTACATGTACATGTACATGTATCTAGTCTCCACCTTCACACAAGCTGTATATTTGTCAAATGGCTGGCTGAATGTCACACGGTTGTTAGCTACTACATGTACATGTACCTGAGGAACAGGGATCTTCGCCAGGCATTGCGTGGCTTACTGTCTGACTGCCACCAAAGCTTGACCCAAAGGTTCTAAGATTAGAGTTGAAGGAAAGTGTGAAAAACGCAACTACAATTATTCATGGCATGTGAGCAGCTGCATGCGTGTGTGTGCAAGAATTTAGTTCCTGAATAATATTATGAAAAAGAATTCCAAGAACGCTGAAAGATTTATCTGCGGGAACCCTGTGTTCTTAAAAAGAATGCAGTGTTGGCTTTTGGCGAGTGAAGAGGAAGGACAATGTTTGAAGATTTGTCAAACACAGCCTTTTGAATTGTGACTGTTTTCCTTGGTTCAGCAATGTTGGTTGAATCATCTGGAACTTTCTCTCCTCAACTTCACACAAAGTTTTCCCAAGGACTTGACACTTTACGTTACAATGTACCGGTAGGACATCTTGAATCGTTCTCTAATTAACCTGTTTGATGTCTTCTTGAGTGTTTTATACAAAGCATCAAACTTAACTGCTCATAATCAAGATTGCTAGGAGTTCTACTAACAGTGACATATTGGCTGTAAACACGTCTGAGTAAAAGAACAGCTTTATTGAAGTCTATGTAAATGTGTGCAGTTTGGAGAAATTGTTAGTTTCATCATCTAATCAGACAAGCAAGTGGAAATATTCAATTTTATCTACCACTCCTCCTATTCGATGTGATCTACATGTATATTGCAATTTTTTTCTTGGACATGGTGTATTTAAATAATGACAACAATCCATCTTGAAATTTGACAATGTCAGATACATGCATCTGACATGGACAACAGACCTTAACCCTAACACTCATCAATCCTTCAACTGTTGGAGGACTGAGGACTGTTGGGGTTAACCCTTGTTATAAGGGGAAATATGCGTATTGCTGATACCCTTTTTCTGGAAAGTAAGGGCTTGAAAAAAAATAAGAGCAAAAAGATACAAAAGATAAAAATGAATATTCTTTAAAACCTGGGTGACTTGATTTGTTTTAGACGAGCCAAATTTGGGGCAGTGCTTCTTGCTACATGCAGTACTACACTGTCCTGTGAAAGTGATGGCACCCTCCTGCACTATTACAAATGTTTGATGTCTTTTGTGTGAGATATATGTACACACGTGTAGAAGTTATTTATTTATGAGCATACTGTAACGAACTCAGTTAACACTTTTGTCGTCGACAGAAATTGATGAAGTTACATTGTACATGTATATGGGGGAAAATGTAAACTTGTACTGTACATGTATCACAGGTACATTTTTTAAAACATGCAGAATACACACTGAAATGCCTCCTAGTAACAGATGGGTTTTTCTACTATACATGTTTCATGGGAGGCAAGGTAACCTTTCAAAATAGGGCTGAGTACCCGACAGAACCATTACTCTGAGGCAGTTTGGCACTCTGCACTGTGCTGTCATACTGCAGGTAGGGAAAAATCAGATTTGACAGGCAATATTTGTTTCCAAGAGCAACACTTTGCTCTTTTTGGGGGGCCATTTTCAGAGCTGCACACAAGGCAGTCATTTTATTGACATGCCTGCTGATATTGAAAATGTCTTATCAATGTCACCAGACTGCAAGACACTGACGACCAAAAAGGACACGGTTTATTACTCTGCATGCAGGCCGGTCTTGTTCAGTCCTGCTCTTATACTGTTGGCGCAGCTCAGCTATGCCAAAAGAGAAACAGGACCACATTATACACAGTGAATCAGTTCAATCTGGAGTCTTTGGTGGTCTGTTGGATCCAGTGAATTCCTGATTGAGACACAATAAATGCTGCACTTGACCAAAAATACCGACT